GGATTTCAAAATCTGGATTCACCTATTATACACCAGATCACTAAATCGAAGATGCACCACCATTTTTATCAAAAATATATTCGACAATTAATCTTTGAATGTCATCCAGAGTACAATATCTAAAAATCCAAACAAGAAAACGAATTTGGCTATCACCTTACATGTATACCACCACTTTTCATGCTCTTCGTGAACATAACACTATTTTTTGAAAAAACCTACATAAATCTCCTTACATTCTCATTCAGGATTTTTACTTCAAACAACATTCTTCTGTATCTTGACATCAAAATGAGGAAACGAAACTGGAGTTTCAGGTAATGTGATCACTTGTCATTGATCATTGTTTGAGATAACATGGTTTACTTGTTGAAATATGTATGTTGTGTCTGAAATGTCCCTTGAGACTTAATTACTTTTGTATGGTTCATATTGATATAAAATTTGTATAAATATGTCTCACATGTTGTTTATAAAAACACATCGGAATGAAAAAGTATTGATTTATTGCATATGTGTACTTCAACCGCGTGAGGCTCCCTTTTCAATGTATGGTAACAGAAAACGCCCCTCTGTAAATCTGAACTTCAAACTAAAGAATCTCTTGTAAAACCCAGATAATTGAATAGTGGTTAAGATTCAATACAGTTCACTCTCGATTGATAACGAGTATAAGATGAAGTTCAACAAATTTGAGTTGAAGATGAATGAAAATTTAAAAATTATGTGGAATACATTTCACCATTACGCAATAAAGGACTCAATCGAGGTGGATGCGACACATGTGAGGACCAACAATATTCTAAAAAGGGTTAATACATATTTTCACCCCTGACATATGAGGTGTATTTTTATTCTAAAAAAAGTTCCAATTGTGATGTAGCTTATATTTTTATTATTATTTTAATGACATGGCTTGATTAATTGTCATTTTTAATTAATTTTTAATTTCATATGACATTTATATTAATATTTTATTAATTGAGTGTTAATTCAAAGTTAAAAAATTTTTGTCCTTCAACAGGAATCAAACCATGGACATACTGTTTGCAATGAACGCTTCTTACCACTAGACCAATGCATTTTCTTTGTTACATATATGCATCAATAAATATTCATATCATTAACATATTAATTATAATTATCAATAAATTTTCTTAACTAGTTGGTTTAAATAATTTTTAAAAAAATGTTTTACATATTTTATCTTTTTACTGTAACTTTTTTTAAATTTTAAATTTTCAAAAATCACTTAAATTTAAAAAAATCACTAAAATTTTCAAAAATCACTTAAATTTAAAAAAATCACTTAAATTTTCAAAAATCACTTAAATTTAAAAAAATCACTTAAATTTTCAAAAATCACTTAAATTTAAAAAAATCACTTAAATTTTCAAAAATCACTTAAATTTAAATCACTTAAATTTAAAATCACTTAAATTTTCAAAAATCACTTAAATTTTCAAAAATCACTTAAATTTAAAAAAATCACTTAAATTTAAAAAAAATAAGTTAAATTTAAAAAAATAAGTTAAATTTAAAAAAATCACTTAAATTTTCAAAAATCACTTAAATTTAAAAAAATCACTTAAATTTTAAATCACTTAAATTTAAAATCACTTAAATTTTCAAAAAGTTTTGAAAATTTAAGTGATTTTAAATTTAAGTGATTTAAAATTTAAGTGATTTTTGAAAATTTAAGTGATTTTTGAAAATGTAAGTGATTTTTGAAAATGTAAGTGATTTTTTTAAATTTAACTTATTTTTTTAAATTTAAGTGATTTTTTTAAATTTAAGTGATTTTTGAAAATTTAAGTGATTTTTGAAAATTTAAGTGATTTTAAATTTAAGTGATTTAAATTTAAGTGATTTTTGAAAATTTAAGTGATCTTTTTAAATTTAAGTGATTTTGAAAATTTAAGTGATTTTTTTAAATTTAACTTATTTTTTAAATTTAAGTGATTTTTGAAAATTTAAGTGATTTTTTTAAATTTAAGTGATTTTTGAAATTTTAAAATTTAAAAAAAGTTACAGTAAAAAGATAAAATATGTAAAACATTTTTTTAAAAATTATTTAAACCAACTAGTTAAGAAAATTTATTGATAATTGTAATTAATATGTTAATGATATGAATATTTATTGATGCATATATGTAACAAAGAAAATGCATTGGTCTAGTGGCAAGAAGCGTTTACTGCAAACAATATGTTCATGGTTTGATTCCGGCTGAAGTACAAAAAATTTTTAACTTTGAATTAACACTCAATTAATAAAATATTAATATAAATGCCATATGGAATTAAAAATTAAAAATTAATTAAAAATGACAATTAATCAAGCCATGTCATTAAAATAATAATAAAAATATAACAAAAATATATGTCACATCAGCCTTTTAGGTGATGTGGCATCTTCAAGGTAAAAACTGAAACTTTTAAAATTTGTCAAGGTAACAATTGGAACTTTTTTTTTGGCAGGGGATTTTTGAAATACACCTCATATGTCAGGGGTGAAAATAGGTATTAACCCTTCTAAAAATGTTGAAACATCCTCAATCATCTCTTGATAATGAAATGCCATATTAGATTTGAGTTAACAAAGATATATGTAATGTTACGGATTTTTTTGTATGTGATAACAAATATTTATGTTATATTTTTCTTCACCTTTTATCTAAAATTACTTTGATTTTGTAATAACAGGTATATTTCAGATTTCAAAATTCAAAAAAAAAAAAATCTTCAATATTTTGCATGTTGCTTTAATGAGTTTGGGATTAATTAGTGATAACATGGAAGATTTGGATTTTGACATCCGTACAAATCTTTGAACATCGTGAGGGGTACTATGGGTGATATATGGTGGAAAATTTAACCCGCCACGCCACCCCCAAAGATCAAACCTAACACCCCACATATTTTATTAATTCCAAAAGTGCTCATGGACAAAGTTAGGTCAAAAAGTTCGAACTGAATTTCTAGTAGTTTATTATAAATTTTCGATAACATGCTAAATTTTTTGTAATTCATTTCAAAATTCCTGATATTAAATTATATCGATTTTTTAAAAAGTTTGGTACCTTTGAACTAATACCGGTATTTTGAAAAAAAGTCTATATTATAAATATTAGAAATTTTGAAATTTCCGATAAAAACTCATATATTTATACTAAAAATTTTGAAATTTTCAGTAAAAATTTATATATAAAATTTCAAATTTTCGGATAAAAACTCACATTTATACAAAAAAAAATTTGAAATTTCCGATAAAAATGCATATATTTATATTGAAATTTTCAATAAAACCTCATGAAAGTTATGATTTTTTACCGTATATTTTAACATTCAGATAAAAAAAAACATGAAAGTTGAAAAAAAAAATTTACTTATGATGAAATTACCGGTATAAATTACAAAATGTTCAGTATCGCTAAACAAATTTAGTTAAATGCATGAATTTTACACGGAGTTAAAAAAATAATTTTAAAATTGTGAAAGTGTATCTCAGAATTTATTAAGTATTTCGTGATGGTGTGGATTTTAAAATTCAAATTTTGAGTATTTTTGTAATTTCAGAGGTGTATGTAGATATGAGGTGTAATTATATAACTTACTTCACTTCCCATTTAGTTCTTTCAACTTAATCATTCGCTAAAATAAGGTCTGCACCAATACAGTTTTCAATACACTAGTAAAATAATGCAGACATTGATATTAATTCTTAAGTAACACAGTATTCAGATCATTAGGTTACAGCTTGCTGTTTCATGTCCTCATAAACCATACAGTAAGCACAACAAAAAGGAACTTATACAAACTATATCTTCTTTACTCTTGCTGCTTCCCTAAAAGGCTGCAGCGAACAAAATAAAAGTACAATGGCCAGTCCCAATTTGCAGGACACATGAGCACAGGGAAGGACCCAGAAAATTTGAGTAGTGTGGGCAATCATATAATTTTCCAACAATTATCAAATATATAATATTAAAGACAACTAAAAATTATCATTTTAATCTTTAAATATACGATACATTTTGACTATAATTATCAGCACATCCAAATATATATATTTTGCTATTACTATATATCTGTATAAAAGGTTAATAAAATTTTCTTTCTAAAATATAATAAATAACATGTATACAAAAAGAGTATGAATAGATAAAATATATAGAGTATTAATGAAACATCATGCAAAACATTGTGGGGGCCTCAGCCCACACTCACTACAACGTGGGTCCGTCCCTGCATGAGCACGTTGAACCCTATCAGTGCTGTTAGGAATGATCGCATTGAACCCTATCAGTGCTGTTAGGAATGATCGAGTTCGACTCTAGAAATCCAACTATACCAGGCATATCAGGATGGTTATTTAGACCTGGGCAATGTCAACATAGTAACTCGTGTTGATTATTTGCTAGTCTGGTGCATCAAAGTGTGTACTGCCCGCACCAAATGTATTTGCAAGTCCGAGCCATCTTCTATACAGCTTTATACGTTGAACAAAAGCACAGAGATGATCAGGGGAAATTCCCAAAGACCATACATATCACCACCAAAGAAAGCTAGCTCAAGCTTGATGTACGAAACTTTGATAAACAGCTGGTGCCTGATTGTCAAAGGATGTATGCCTGCTTATAATGCAAGGGCTTACTCTAGTATTGCCATGAAGATCTTGCATTTAGTAGTATGATGATAATCTATTTATGTACAAAATCTTATTTACAACAACAATCAAATGTGTTTCTTATAAATAGCATTCATTTTTAAAAAATGTAGAGGTATTCCAAATATTCTACTGAGGATAAAGAATGACACCTTCCGATCCGACTGAAGCTTTGGAGAGAACAAGTTGAATGCTGTCATAGTGTTACTACAATTTAATATGAACAATTAGTCGTTCTAGAAAGTAAAATCATACAACTGAAATACAAGAAAAAGCTATCAGAATTATGATTCATTAAGTATGTCTCACCTCCTAGATGAAGAAACGTCGTCATTTATGGATTTGAGTTTGACAAGTCATTTTGATTGTTCCCTAGAAATATTTTGGAAGTTAGTATTTCAGTAAGACTAACTAGATAGCTACCAAAAGCAAGCTACAATAAAATACTAACACATGCTCAATTGAAAGTTGAAAATTTTTGTTTACGTTTGATAAAGATACTAAGTATACCGTCAACAACAACCAAGCCTTATCTCACCAAATGGGGTCGGCTACATGGATCAAACTTCGTCATAATGTTCTAAAAGACCATAACTATGTTTCAATCCAACTCATTAATCTCGGAAAATAATTTAATAGTTTCTCTTAGAGTTTTTCTAGATTTTCCTCTACCTCTAGAGATTTGACTACCCTCCATCTGATCTACTCTCTTTACTAAAGAATCCACGAGATCTTCTCCCTACATGCCCAAACCACCTAAGCCTAGTTTCCATGGTCAATCATTTGAATTGGAAAAAAGAATGAATTAAAGGTTTCTCTATAATTTTAAAAAATATTGTTTTTCAAAGTCCTCCCTTCCCTTCCCATCCCCTCCAAACTCCCAAACAAAGCCTTATAGAACAATTACCTGAAACAAGCACATCAGGAAGCACTTGATCTATTATCCGATTCTCTTCTAATACTTTAGAGGCACTCCCTACATTCATGCTTGCTCGGGGTATGGATCCAATGCTTTTCTTCACCACCTTTGCCTTTCTGGGTAAATCAATATGATTAAGCTACAATTTCATATCAAATCGAGCGGCTTATGATTTGAGAAGCCAGATATTATAACTGAATATCAAGAAATTATGCTCAAACCTGATTATATTTCGCTTCATAATGCCTGCTTTTAGTTTTGACACCCCTAACCCTTAAATAGACGATGTAAAAATGTGAATTAAACTGCACTATGCATAAACTGAGGAGAACGAATAAAATGAAAGATAGATCACTTACCTGGTTTAAGAGACATAGAAGTTGAAACAGGTTTACGATTGCTCCTCTCGGCTTTAATAGAAGCAATGAGAGAATCAGCATTCAGCCCCAATCCTTTTCTTCCCACCAGCTTCACTCCTAGCTTTTCACAAAGGTGATTCAATCTCATTTCATCACCTCCCCTTACTTCTCTTAGGTCAAGAGCCTGTTGTCTTGACAGCAAAGTGTAAACATGAAGCTGCTGCTGCTGATTAAAATGTGACTGAAGCTGCTGAAAAAGTAATTTGTTTGAGTGCTGTTGTTGGTCTTGTTTGGCAACTTCGTGATACTTCTTTTTAGCTTCGCCAAATGTTACCCTCAAGATTGCAGGTGATTTTGGGTCTGCATTCTTCTGAGCGAAAATGATAGAAAAACTCCCAAATTCTATATCAGGTTCTCTAAATAAATCTGCGAGAAGGGAAGCACACGTATGAGCATTTGAAGGAGCCTTTTCAACCTTCACATTCATTGATCGATTATTAGCATGGTGGGCCATATTTGCGGCTTCTCGTAGACCACTTAGAAAAGCCCCGTGCATAGTAGCAGGATAGCGCCTATTAGTTGCTTCCCCAGCAAAGAAAAGTCTACCATCTCCCACACTTTCAGCTAAAATATCATAATCGTCACCTGAAGCTCCAACTGCAACATTAGAGTAAGAACCAAAGCAGAAGGGATCACTACCCCATCTAGTACAGACAGTTTGGATAGGTTCAGGAACATTGATTCCTTTTGGTTCATATATACCTGCACACAGATAAAGCATTTTCTTCACACTTATTTCTTAAATAAAATAGTAATCAGATCTAAAAACAATTATGACCAATTTTCTTTGACTGAAATTCAGAAGCAAAAACTTGCTCAGAATTTTTTTTAAAAAAAATTGTTGTTTAAGACAATACACATATCTTAAGAAATTGTTGTTTACTAGAATGCCCTTGTTGTAGCAAGAGTTAGGTAGTAAAACTAATTAATATTAAGTAGGTTGAGATACCAACAAATAAGAGTTTTGTTGAAAAAAAAATCTTGATATTCTAATAATTTGAGACAAACATATTTTCCAAGAGTAACAATCAAAATAAAATGGAGGGAGTATATATTATGAACAAAACTTATGACCCAAGACACATGCAGGAAATTAGAAAAACATCAACAACAAAAATTAAGGGACTTACAATTTCTTATCTAGTAAGTTGTAATTATATTTATACACATTTTGGGCACATTCTAATTGGAAGATTTATGGTGGGACTATGGAGCTAATGAAATATGATGGAAAAGAAATATCAAAATGCTGTAGCTTTAACATAAAGGTTACCCTTCAGAATTTGAAGAACCTTTGTTACTGCATCTGTAGGGGGCATGCTCTCAAATTTATGTGCAGCTTCACCTGCCACTAAAGCAATCAACAGGGGACCACCAGCAACTGTGGCATAACTGTAAAACAAAAAAAATTCCCCACGACGACTTGGATCATCAGAAAGATGCCCAAATGTGTCAAGATCCATCTCCCAAAACACATGAGGAAAGAGCATAGCCACCTTATTCAGTAGACCAAAACCCAATCTTCTGATTCCATCAAGTTTCCTCTGAGGCAACTCTGGTATAAATTTGATAGACCCCTTCTTCAACACACCCAGAGGGACAGTACACAATGCCATATCACCCTCAAATACCTGACTTCCTGCAATAACCTGCACTCCATCACTACCGTACCTAATTGTATGTACAGTTTTCTCATAAAAAATTGGCACATTCTCGGCCAAGGCTTGAACCAGCTTTCCATTTCCTCCAGGCAAAAAACAATGATCTCCTCCCATATCATATGGATCATCTTGGTCCCAAAATGCAAGTGAAAGATGTGATATTAAACCTGCATTTGCATACTCTAAATTTGCAAGATGCCAATTGAACAACTTCATCTCCTCATCATTCACAGCATCCTTATACACTTGCCTGAATGTTTCCAGCGCTGCACCAAGGGACACGTCAACAGAGACCTCCCCCATTAACTGCCTAAGCCTGCTTGCCTTGTCTAACAAACGATTAAAAGCAGATTCAACCTTCATGTCCATATCAGGGTTAACCGGCTTTCCGTCCACACTATAAAGGGGACACTTATCTCTCACCTTATGAAGCACGTCACCTAACTGTCTTGCCACAATCCCAAGAGGATTCCCTAAAGTACCTGTCAAAACACTCCCACCTAACTCAGCAACCGCACCCACCCTACTCCCCACTTCCATTTTCTTAGTATAAACCCGTCCACCAGCCCGTTTCCTCCCTTCCAACACTGTAACTTTAAACCCAAACCGCATCAACTGCCTGGCAGCAGCCAACCCGGCAAGGCCGGCACCAATAATAATCACACCAGGCTTACTCGGTTCGGTAGGGGTTTTGTCCTTAATTGGGGAAGCAACACCAAAATTGATATAACCATGTGATACAAGATAATTATAAGCAGAGTCCAAAAGCGTGTGGTAATGTAGAGGTATATAATCGGTAAACATTTTCTTAGTAACCCAAATAGAAACATTGTCACGCCATTTAGCAATAATGTGGTTCCTAATGAGAGTGTAATTCACCTGTTCGATCCCTCCAATGACAGGGATAACTCCAGTTTCGATCTCCTCCTCGGACAGCGAATCTGCTGGAAAACCAGCACTGAGTGCGATCATTGCCTCCGTTTTGGGTTCTTTATTTATCATGATAATCTCATCGGAGAAGTCGTATGCGGAAGAAGATTGCGTCAACGATGGCGGTGGGTTTCTGATTGAAGAAAATGAAACCGGAGGTGCAACAGCGGCAGAGGAAGAAGAAGAAGTGATGGCGTAAGAGGAAAGATCGTTGTTAGAAGAGGCATTGAGAGTGAGAGGAGAACGAAACAACGCCGAATTGCGTTGGGACCTGCCACGCCTTCTCTTTTTGGGGACGGATAAATCAAGGTAATGGGTGAGGTTAGGGTTTTGGTCCCAATTGGGGATTGAATCCGGTTGAATATTAGGGTTAGAGTTTTGTTGAGGTGGTGGTATCTGAGAAGGAGGAATCAGAGAAAATTGAGGTGGCTGAGGAGGAGGAGGAGGATCCATCACACTCGGTTAAGGGTTGTTTCGTGTAACGCTGTATAACAGAATCTATCTTACGCGCCGCCGTCCACCACCACCGCCATCGCCGCCGTTCAGTTTCACTACCACACTGTAGTGGAAGGTTACCTTCCTTGTGCAGTTTTTTTTTTTGTTGAATATTGTTAGTGATTCTGTTTTTTATTTTACTTTTACGAAACTATCCTTGATAAATAATCTACATGAAAATATTTGTTGTACATCTCCTAGTTTAAAAATATACACCGATGTAGGGGTGTTCAAATCGAACAAAATTAAATCAAAAATCGTAAAAATTGTATTTTGTTTAAATGTATTTGTGTTATTTTTAAATCAGACTCCACGGTTTAGTTTGATTTGGTTTGCAGATTGTATTTTGTAAACTAAATCAAACCGTAATACGTTATAACTCAAATTTCACTTAACTCACATCCAACTCAAATCTATTATGTCTTAGTCTTACTATTGCAAATGACTTTCTCTTCCTCACACTTAAGCTTTCAGTTTCATCCTTTTGAAATCTCTCCTAGCAGTTCCTACTTTATTAGGTACATCTCGCATCTTCTTCACTAATCTCTACTCTATTATATTCTTTCTTTTTTGTCTTATCTGATTTTTATATTTAAATGAGAAGGTATTGTTTAAATATGATAAGTTTGATTGTTATTTTGTAATATATGAATGACGAAATACAAAGTTATGTTATTCTATATATGTGTATATATGACTCAATAATTTTTTTGTAAGAAACTGAATCAAACCGCATTTGTTTGGTTTGGTTTAATTTGATTTTATTTTTAAAAACCAACTGAACCAACTGATCAGAATGGACCGTCACGGCTGGCTCCGAGCTGAAGTTTTGAATGAGGTGGGGGGGTACCTGCAAGACACTCCGATGCTGAAGTGAGTAAGAGCACGAGCAGGCAATAGTAAGAGTATGGGTAGAATGATGAATACCTGACCCTCTGGAAATAGAGGGTATTTATAGCCCCCAGCGCTGGGCCAAGGTCCCTTCATTGGGCCGGGCAGGTTTGGCCCAATGAAGGAACTGTCAGGTTCTACGTGTGTAGTGGAGACCCGCACGTGGTCTCTTTTCTAGATGTGCTGCGTGAAGTGCGGGCGGACGAGGACGCAGTCTTTTCGGGACCCAGGTGAGGGTGCAGTGGACTGAGTTTGCCCTAGGAGGGGTGCTCGAGGTGAGGTCGAGCTGGACAGTAGGAGGTCGAGCAAGTAGCCCTAAGGAGTACGTCGGGCACGACTGTGATCCTTTGGTCGGCGTGACCCCCAGCAAATCCGTTTGGATTGGGCTTTATCAATGCTATTGGACCTGTCGGGCCCAGTCCAGAACAGGAGCCCCCCAAGTCGTGGTTCCTTGGGTTAGGAGCCATGGCTTGATCTTAGGTTGCTTCCGTTTCGGGGCCTCGTGCCCGGCCAGAGACGCAGCTCCTCGTGGGGGTACTCGAGGGTTTCCCCGTATCGGGCTCGGGGACAAGTCCACCGCGGGGAATGCTCGGGGATTCCTCAACGGCACGCGTCTGTCGAGCACGCGAGGTATCTTTTGGGAACTGTGCCGCCACCTTATGAGGATAGGGTCATCATTGCCTAGGGGAGATGCGCGTCGAGGAGGGGAATCTGTGGTTGCCCGAGGTGACGTTTGATATTCCACGTCATCACTATAAATAGGATCCTTGGGCCCTAGAACGTGTTACTACTCTTCGCGCTTCTCCTCTTCGCTATGTTTCTGCTGCTGTTGTTCTTCCCAGATTCCCATAGCATCGCCGCAATCTCCGTCACCGATTCCTTTCCTCTGTTGCCAAATCTACTCCTTGATTCCAAGTAAGTGACTTGTCTTCTCTGTTTTTCTGTTGTGATGCATGATTTTCATTGTTTTAGACATTTTTAGAGGTTGTGCGCGTGGGAATAGCCCGGTAAACTTATGTTCAGCCCGGCAAATTCATGCATGAGGTCGGCAAACACATATTCGTGGCCGGTAGATACATAGTTTAGGTTATAATCTGCAGTGCTGCCCGGGGTCTTCATGATCCAGGGCGCCTAATTCGTGATCGTGCCCGGTAGACTCATAGCTCTAGCTTTAAGCTTTATGATGTTGCTCGCCGTGTTCATACCCCGGGTCGACGTATTCACGAGTGACCGCGTTGTCGGTTTATTTAGGCGGCTTGTAGAAGGGCCCGTCGAGGCATCTGGAAGTCGGGGAGGCGACTGCTATTTTTGTTTCAAACCAACTTTGTGGTCGTGCATGGAGCGCCGTGGTTTGTCGCGCACTTCATCTTGTTCGTTTCGACGAGCGTATGGTTTCGTGCCCAATTGACTGGTTTCCCGTGCTCTGTAGGTAACCATGGCGGACGAGCCATGCTCATCAGGACGCCCCGAAAGGGAGGAACAAAGTGCCGACGAGACTGTGAGTCTGATCGACACCGTAGAGGACCCTCTGTTGGACTGGGTGGGTGCCGAGCCTAGAGGAATCGCCTCGGTCTATAGTCGGCGCAGCCGAAGGCCATACGCTGTCCTTGAGGCGGGCCACGACCAGCCCGATTTTCAAAAGAATTTCGTCGTTACTAGACCGACCTTCACTGCTCGGATTTGCTCGGTGTTCCCCGAGTACAGCTTCCCCATGTACGAAATTGCATTCAAAGACCTTGGGTTGCAGCTGCCCTTCAGCGACTTTCAGGCCGGGGTCTTTGGCCATTTGGGGCTGGCCCCGTCGCAGCTACACCCAAATTCGCTCGCCTTTATCCGAGCGTTTGAGCTAACCTGTCGTTTTCTGAGGATTGGGGCGACTATACCCCTCTTCTTCAGAGTCTTCCATCTGCAGCGCCAGTCTCGGGGAGGAAAGCACAGCTGGGTTTCCCTGAAACAGTCGAAGAGACTTTTCAGGATGTACATGGACTCCGTGCGGGGTTTTAAAGACAAGTGGTATGTCGTGAGGCCGGTTACCACAGCCGCTTTAGAGTCCCTGTACGAGGAGGAAGCGGCGATAAGCGACGATGACGGGGAGGCACTTTTAGACAACGACGGGCATTCGGTGTTGGGACGCACGGCCAAGTTCCCCGTGCATTGGATTTCTAGGCATTATGAGCACGGTACTGGGTATTATCATACGTCTGCGGGCGACATGGGCTCCGAGGATGAGAAGGCTTACAACACTCTTTGTCGGTACGTTGATAGCTTCCACCCCGCCAGATGGCCCACGAGGGAGGGGGATGATGTCCTGGACGAGGAGGGTTATCCGACATTTGAGGCCCGACCGATCGATACGAAGGCACTCGTGGAGTGCTAGTCATTCGGGCAGGCTGCTCGTCTGCTAGTTCGTTTATTGCTTGAATTTGCTTGCCATTTGTTTGCTTATTTGCTCGGCACTTACCCGGTTTTTTATTTGTACAGGTTCGATGGTCGGGCGACGGGAGAGGCTCTTGAAGTTGTCTTGTGACCGGAGGGCGAACAAGAGGGTGGTGAAGGCCCCTCAAGCAACGAGGATGGGCCTGCCGCATAGTCTGGGCGCTCCTCATGTGGTGAGGGTGGATTCGTCGCCTAGCTCGGGGGCTGCTTCGGAAGAGACCCCAGAGGTCCAGGAGGTCGAGCCACATGTCGACCTGGTACAAAGAAAAAGGAACCGGGTGGAAAGTGGGCCGGCGGTCGGCGAGGATTCCAGTGTCGTAAGGTCTTTCAGGTTGCCCCCTTGCTTCAAAGAGGAGGGTTTCTTCGAGGGGTTCCCTTTGTCCGTGACTGCCGATGAGGCTGAGGCCATCAGGAGGATGAGCAAGGAGGAGCGGAGGAGGCACCTGGTCGCCAATATGGCCGGGCTGGTGAAGATGGCTGAAATGGCCGTTGTGTTGTCCGAGGAAGGGGAGAATCCCGACCGCATCAAAGAATTGGAACAGGAAAAAGCGGCCCTCGCCTCGAGTTCGCGAAAGCTAAGGACTGCCCTGGAGCGCTCCGAGGAGATGTTCCGCGAGCAAGCCGCGCTGCTGGCTGCCGAGAGAGAGATGCTGACTCTGGAGAAGGAGAACTCGGGGAAGCTAGCCGAGGAGGGAGAGCTTCTCCGTGCGGATCGGGAGCGTCTGGAAATCGACATTGGGCGCCTCACCAGAGAGATCGAGGACCTGAAGGTCGCCATGCTTCCTGCCGAGGATGAGCCGGAGGACATAGCCGCTTTGAGGAGTCGATTAGAGCTGGTCGCCCGTATCCGACTCCTCGAAGCGAATTGTGTCGGTGCTATGGAGGAGGGGTTCGAGTCCGTGGTCAGCCAGCTTTCCTTACTGAACCCCGGTTTGATCACTGAAGGGACGGGCTACATGTCTCAGATCGTGGATAGCACGATCGTGCCCCCGCCCGACTCTCCTATTGTCGATGATGATGGCTCCGGGGAAAATGAATTGTAAGACGATGATGGGCCTGTGTGCCTTGTTGATATTTGTTTTGGGCCTGCGTGCCTGTTCGTATTTTTTGGGCCTGCGTGCCCGTTGGTTGTACTTCATGAACATCGTCGGCCTTCTTGGTCGGTTTATATTTATTTGCTTTGTTGCCTACGGGAATTTTTGAATGAATGCTTTGTTTCAATTTTGATTGTTTGCCCGTGCTTGCGTTTTATGTTTTTGCACAAAAATTGGCCTAAGTTATGGGCCCGAGGAGTGCCCGTAAGTGGCTGTGACTTAGCTGGTAAATTTGCCCGTCTTTTGTTTGTATATGTGCCCGGCCTCTTCTCGATGGCCATAGTCACCTAAGTGGTGCACTCGAGGGGAGAGACTCCTTTTTGACCCTTTTAGATGGCCCGTCATTCTTGAAGATTTGTCGGGCAGATGGAGCAGAGTCGCTCAGTCGGGCGCACGGCCCGGCAGGGACTATTTGCCCTTGGCGTGAACTGCCCATCGCGAGCTGGGTGTTCTGCCTTATAGGTACTACAACGGTGGAGCTCGGTGTAGGTGTCCACGTCGGGCACTATCGATTGGTCTCGTTTGTTGAACGATGTT